ACCTTTTTCCGATAAACCCAAAGAAAAGACGTAAAATTGACTAAATTATAAAGGAAAACACACTAAAATTTCTTATTTTGTGCAAAAACACAAAACATCTATCTCTCTTTCTCCTTCTCTTTCTCTCTCTCACTCTCTCTCTCTCTCTCTCTCTCTCTTTTTATTAGTGTAAAAACAGGTACTCAAACAGTCGAAAGTTTAAAATTTATAAAACTCGAATTTTTTTTTTTTTTTGTTTTGTTTTTTGTTTGTTGTTTTTGTTTTTCACATTGAATTTTCAAAAAAGGTCAAATTAAATTAGTTTTTAAAATTTTTATTTCTCATAAAATAAACAAATAAAAACTAAAAACGGACTAAATTAACTACAACGACTAACAAACAAAACAAAACAAAAAAAAAATAATTCAACTTTATAGTTAACCTATACGAAATTACTAAAAAAAAAAAAAAATTACGAAATTTCTAGAAACAAATGGAAAAAGGTTCACCATGATGATGATGATGATGATGATAACAATAGAAAATTTTTTTTTTTCAATTTAAAAAGATAAAACAAACGCTATTAACGTAAACATAAAAATAAAATGAGCGGGAAATTTTTTTTTTTCTGTTTCACATAAAAATCAGTTTATCTAACAGAAATAAAGTTAAAAATGGGTTTAAAAAGGCTCACAAAAATGGGGGGATGGGGGGATAGAGGGAGGAGGGTAATTAATGATTTCGTAGTCGAGGAGAAAAAAGAAAAAAAAAGGAAAAATAGTTTTTTACTTTTTTTTTTTTTCCTTCTCTTTTAAAATTAACAACAATGATGTAATTATACAATTTTTTCTTTTTAAATGGGGGGGCAGGTAAGGAGGAAAGTTAAATTTAAGAGTAGGGGGAGGGAGGGAATTTAAAAAAAATCTGAATATATTATACGCGTATACGTTTTATTAAGGACAAGGAGAAAGAAGAAGAAGAATAAAAAGAAAATTTTTTTTTTTTTTTTAATTAAAAAATTCTTTTAAAAAGATAGGAAAAAAATGGGGGGCGGAAAGGGGAGACCGGTTAAAGGGCAAAAGAAAATTATTCCAACAAATAGCTGTCAATTTAAAAAAAAAAAAAAAAGAAAATGATTGATTGATTTTCAATGAATGAAATATAAGAAGATGAAAATATAAAAAAAAGAAAACTTTCAGCAAGTTTTAGAAAATTAAAAATGACTTAAAATAAAAGAAGCCATTAAACTACTTTTTTTTCTGGGGAGTAAGGGGAGGAGAAGGAGGAGGAAAGGAAAGAAGGAGAAAAAACGACAGGGGATAAAAATGATGATGAAACAAAAAAGTATTTAAGAAAAGTTGATTGAAAAAAAAAAAAAAAAAAAAACGAGGACGACGTGATTTTCTTTATTTTTTTTTTAAATTTCAAAAAAGATTCACCAACAACCTGGTCACGACACAAACGTTAAAAAAAACGACGACAACAACAACAACAAACAAAAAAATCAATAATTGAAAATCATTTTATATAAAAAAAAGGAACAAATGAACGGGGAAAAAAAGGAAAAAAAACGTTCGAAAACAATAACGTAAAGTGACAAAGGCAACTATTTAAACCTTTTATCAAAAAAAAAAAAGGTTAAATGAAAAGAAAAACAAAAGCAAAAAAAAAAAAAAAATTTAAGGAATCAAAAGGATTTAAAAGGTTTCCCCCCACGTCCCCCCCCAATCTGACAGTTGGGTTCACGAGGCTATCCACCCATTTAATTGGTTAAAGAATAAGAGAAGCATTCGAGCGTGGCGTTCATTTTACGGTGTAATCGATTCACACACACACACACAAAAAAAAAAAATTTTAAACATAAATAAATAAATGAAACACTACGCTACAAAAACAACGAGACGAGAGGCAATTTATCGCGAAAAAAAAAATTAATTATGGTGGTATAGTAGAAATGCGCGTTCAGATATTTTTTCGAACGGGATAAGTTAAAAAAAAAAAAAAGATTTTTGTCAGATATTTTCAAAAGAATCAGTCTTTTAACGTTTAAGAAAGAAAAGAAAGAAAAAAAAAGTAGTAGTAGGCGAAAACGTCCGAAGATTGCCGAAATAAGTCGGAATAAAAGCCCTTTGGAAGATCAATACGTTGTAAAAGCTGTGCCTGGGGGAACGCCGAGCTTCCTAAAAAGCTTTACGAAACCCACAAAACTAAACAGAATTTATTTTAATTTACGCAGTTTGGTTTTTAAAATTTTCCCCGAATTTATTTTCGTTACTTTTTGTTTTTTCTTCTTTTTCCGCCCTTTCCCCTCCCCTCCTTTCGTATTTTTTCCATACCCCTACCCCTCTTACCCTCCCTCTTCCTTCCATTTAAAAAAAAAAATCCCGATTTTGTAGCTTCGTAATTTAAACATTTTTTTTTTTCCTCTCAACGTTTTTCCATCCGATGATGAATGAAACCTAAAAACGGTTCAGGTACGAGTTCGCTCTTAAATAATTTTCCGTTTTTGAATTTTCATTAATACGTAAACAACCATCATCATTATTATTACTTTTGTAACGTTACGAAAACGATACGTCACGCATCGTTCACATCCGTTTTTAGCCGAACGTTTCGAAATAAAATAATAATAATAATAATTTTTTTTTAAACGACGCGTTCGGTTTTATTTTATTTTTAAACCGTTCACAATAAATAACCGGAAATGAAATTTTTTTTTTTATTTAAATGCAGCCAAAAATGCATTTTGCCAAAAAAAAAAGAAAATTTTGGCAATTTGAAAAAAAAAAAAAAAAATTATCCCATCTTTTAACAATAATAATAAT